GGTAGAAAGAGCCCACGCCAAAACCTTTTCGGTTTTGCCCGCCCAAAGTTCGGCCGTTTGGTACTACCAGCCCAAATGTCTTCAGCCTGGGTGAAAGGGGCCTTCGCTCTGTGGCCACAGCTCCCTTGGCTTGTATTTACCGGTTCATGAATTTGGCCCTGTTTTTGCACCAGGTAGGGCCCTTCTTTTTCAAAATACCGTACTGGGCCTCAGGCTCATTCTATCCTTCAGTGGTAACACCCTCAGCCTCTTGTACATCAAAATCAATCTGGCACTGTTTATGCGCCAGATGCATGATCCGGTAGGGCCCTTGGAGCATGCGTGGGCCTAAAGTACCCCGCATGGAGGACTTTGGGCCGGTAGTACCAAACGACCAAACTTTGGGCGGCCAAAACTGAAAAGGTTTTGGTGTCGGTGCTTTCTACCGATTACCCCCATCTGTTAGGCTGGAGTGTAGAACAACCCACCCTGACCAGCGTCATCTTGATAACAGCCCCAAGCAGCCAAAGAACCGCCTACCCCCCTTGACGATTCCCCAGACCTCTTACTGCGCCTCCAGAGCCCTGAGGCTCGCTCGAGTTACAGGGCAGCACGACCAGACCCGCAGCTGAGTTCAAAAATAACAGAAAAGAAAAAAATTGCTATTTTCCCTTTTTTGTGCATTCCAACCTGCCGTGCCGCTGAGCAGATATCAATGCAGATTAGGCTTCTCTTTTAGAGACCTAGCCAAACCTTCCCCCCCCCAAGTGAAACTTTCCCATAATGTTTTGGATGATTGCCGAATCCGGGCTTCCAGAAAGCCTCGCAGTGCCAGCACTGTCAAAAAATGAGTACACCGTCTCTCCTGGAGTTCTCGTCCATTCATCCCAAACGAAGAACGAGGGCACACAGTTACACTAGGACCTTGTTTAGCAAAATCGAAAGGTTTAGCAAAATCGAAAGATTTGCGAACGGCTCCCAGTCTACACAGTGCCCCCTCAACCATAAAAATAGGATTTTGCATCGCAAATTTTGCTGCACAGTGCATACGGAGCTACGGAATTTTGGAATTTTAGATAAACTTGGTAGACGATGATCGTTTCCTTTCCTTTTATCTGATTTTTTCCAAGAAAAATGGAGAGAAACTATTTCATGAAAATAGCAGGACCCAACAAGAAAGGAAGGCGAGTACAGGGTGGCCAGGAAATGCCAAAAAAAAAAAACAATAAAAGAGTTGGTGCCAGTTGTACAATGTTCTGTAACTACACTGCCACCAAAGTACACAATTGGCAGAACGGTGCAACAGCAGGTCTCAATCCACCACAATGCCCAAAAAAAAAAATAAAAAAAAAATAAAAAAAAATCCAGAGGCCTAGCTCAGTTGGTTATGCACGCAAGTGGCATTCAGGAGGTTGTGGGTTCGAGCACTTCGTGCCAACCAGCGGTGATAATCCGCTTCATACCTCTGATCGGTAATAGCAGGGTCCTTGGCCAACACGGGTGTCAGTGTGAGTGTGAGTGTGAGTGGGTTGTGTGTGGTGTGTGGTGTGTGGTGTGTGGTGTGTGGGAGAGTGTTGGCCTTAGACACTGCTGTTATTTGGTTGGGGGTGGGGGACGATGAAAAGGGAGGCGCAGCTACTGGCAAAATGTCCGGTCTTTGCGTTAGCCGGACCCCCACCAGTGGCCCCACCCCATCCTTGACCACCATGGTTGGGGCGGGGGGCAACATGCATCCCCTCTGATGGCTGGAGGGAGACAACAAAGCTATGTTTCCAGCGGTCCCCTGCCTAAGCCGTAGGAGTAGTGGTAGGTAGGTAGTGAAGGTGAATTAGAAAGAATTTGAAAGATGATGAAAGATTTGAGAGAAGCTGGTCACACTTAGGTAGGATAGTAGGGACAGGGGCTGCGCTGGGAGTATTAACATCATTGGGGATGGGTAGGGTAGGTGGCCTATCCTGTCAGGACAACCATTGGCTGCCGCTACCCGCAATCACCACGGGTCTGGTCCTTGGCCTCTACAACACCCTGGGCTTAAAAGAAAAAAGAAAAAAAAGAAAAAAAAGAGATAGATAGATAGATAGATAGATAGAGAGAGAGAGAGAGAGAGAGAGAGAGAGAGAGAGAGAGAGAGAGAGAGAGAGAGAGAGAGCTCTTATACACATCTAGATGTGTATAAGAGAGAGAACACACACACACACACACACACACACACACACACACACACACACACACAGAGGACCTCCACCTTTACTCTGCCTCCTTTCATAGTGTGCAAGTGGGACGTTAGGGCAAACAGGGATGTGGGCAGCTGGCGCTCAACCACAATCAACGTGGCGAGCGTTGTACATGAGAGGCACAGTAACAGGGGAGTTGCAAGAACAAATGAAAGGGGTACCCGAAAAACTCAAAGTGAAAACAGTTAAGAAAGGGATTATTTAAACGCTTCTATTATGCCCCGTGTTGCTTGCTATAGAGGTAAGACTGTTTCATTGTTGGATTTTCTCACCTCAAGTGTTTTCGTTGTCTGCAATAGGACTAAAGCTGCTTCGATTTTGGTCCTACTCATCTGGGTGGAATAGGGGCTGTCGTGGTGAAAATTCAAAACACACTGGACCTCCTGACGCTGTGATATTACAAGGCATTGTGAATATTTCACATGTTTAGAAAAAGTTTTGACTGTCCTTGGGGACATCGGTTAAAATTGGGACAATACAGAGAAGACACTGCCTGCGCACCACCCAAGGGGCTAGGCCCATGATTGTGGTATGCTGGTAACGAGCTTTGGGGGGAGGACTGTTTGAGTGGTTGGTCTTTAGGGGTCTGATGAGTGCCGAGTGTCTGTGTGTGGGCTGTGTGTTGAGTCTGGCACGATGATCTCTAGGTCTGTCTCGTGTACTCATCATGGGCGGGGGTAGAGGGGATAGATAGGGGGGGGTTGGGGGTCTGAGTTCCCACTGAGGGGTCGACTGGGGCGTGAGTCTGGGCAAGGGCTTCTAGGTAGTGTGTCATCTTAGGCAGATGGAAACAGAGGGATGGGTGGAGCGGACGTACAGATGGAAACAGATGGAAACCGAGGGATGAACGAATGGATGGACTGATGGATAGTTGAATGGAGGGACGAACACAGTCACACAGAAAGACAGACACATGTGTTTACCTGCTGAGCGATGGACATCCTGACCAATAAACAGAGAGATAAACCGAAGGAGGGATGGGGGGATGGAGGGACGGAGGGAGGGAGGGATTGAGGGAGGGACAGACGGATGGAGAGTTGGGAAGAATGATCGACAGATGAACGGACGCATGGTATGTTGGAGACAGAAGGGAAGGACAGAGGTACTGAGGGAATGGATGGATGGACCCGGTGTGAGTGTGAGTGTGGGTGTGAGTGTGAGTGTGAGTGGGTTGTGTGTGGTGTGTGGGAGAGTGTTGGCCTTAGACACTGCTGTTATTCAGTTGGGGTTGGGGGACGATGAAAAGGGAGGTGCAGCTACTGGCAAAATGCTCGGTCTTTGCATTAGCCGGACCCCAACTGGCGGCCCCACCCCATCCTTGACCACCATGGTTGGGGTGGGGGGCAACATGCATCCCCTCTGATGGCTGGAGGGAGACAACAAAGCTATGTTTGCAGGGGTCCCCTGTATATTCCTTAGGAGTAGTGGTAGGTAGGTAGGTAGTTAGTCAAGAAGAATTAAAAGAATTTGAAAGATGATAAAAGATTTGAGAGAAGAATATAGCGTAGTTAATTATAAATAAATAAATAAAAAAAAAAAAAAAAAAAAAAAAAAAAAAGAGAGAGAGAGAGAGAGAGAAGAATATAGCGTAGTTAATTATAAAAAAAAAAAAAAGAACCTTTTGGGTTGGAGGGCCGCGTCGGTTGGTGGCGGCTAGGAGCGCTAAGCCGATGCGCTAAATTTTTTAGCGCTAAAAGCATGAGTGGAAATGTCTACGTTTTCAAGGGCGTGGATGGCTGATAGCGCGAGAGCTAGTTCCCCTGTGACGCGAGAGGTGCATAACCTGTGGAGCCTGCGTATGTGGTAGTTATGTGCTCTCTGGTCTCCGCGTGGTATGTAGTGTACTGCGTTTCCCATTGGGAAGACCAATGAGCAGGAGGCAGCCTGGACCTGGGAGGAGTCGAGAAGGGTTTGATTAGGAGATGGTGTTCTCCTTTGAAGACTGGAGCCTACTCAGTTTGAAAACGGAAGGTTGACAAGAGACTTCTCCTGTCCATGACGTGATCGGCCTTTCGAGAGAAGCCCACCTTTCATGCCCACCTTTCATGCCCACCTTTCATGGATATCTAGACGAACGATCGGTTACTCGAAGTGTTCACGTCGGCAGTTCTGTCCTTTTTCTACGACGTCCAGGTATAATGAGTGGGGAATGCAATCAAGGATTTTATCCCAATATTTATGCCTTGGATTATTATATGCTCGGTCTCTTTTTAGGACAAAATCCTTCTCAGTTAATTTCTTATTTCTTTATTCTGATTGAGCGTGATATTGTGTCTGTTGTTGTATTGATCTGGTTAACTTTGATTAGGGTTAGTGTTTTTCTTTCGGTGGTGGAAAAGTGCTCATGGCAAATAATGACCATGCTTCGACATCAAATGGTCAACCTCCGCCNCCCCCCCCCCCCCCCCCCCCCCCCCCCTATCCGAGGCGGATAAACAAAGGATAAGGGGTATCCTGAGCTCCTGTTATACTGACGGGCTGTTACCAAAACACCTGGCTTCACCCTCGAATCCGAGTAAAGTGGAAAGAGGTGATGATTATGTCAAAGTTACGATGGACCCCGAAGTACTGAGAGTTCAGGTAGAGTGGTTGAAGGAACACGCGGTGACAGTGCTGTTTGGTGACGAATCCACCTCTCTTCCTATTGATGTTAAAAAACGTCTGATTCGGACGTATGAGGATGGTTGGGCTAACAGTAGACTTATTAATGTGCCGCCGAGGAGAGGCCTTTTCCACAACGAATGTCGTAATCTCATTACTTATGTTTCTTCATTAAATCAGATCGCGACATTCATGTTGAGAAAAGGTAATGATACGATCTCTTTGGACGGTAAGACCTACGAAATTTCGTTTCAACCGTGGATGAACGACAATCAACTCTATGAATGGAGGGAAGCGATGTGGTTCCAGTTCTTCTGGATTAGGTGCCTACAGATTCCTGTTTCAGCACTTCCACTACTCGAGGAAGCAGTGGAAGTGGCTTTTGGCCCTATTCTGAAAACTTACCCAGCGTTTAAGGAACCTTGTTCTCCGGAGCTCTTAAACATTCGCTTTGATTTGGCCACTTGGGCCAGGTTTCGGTATAAACCATATCTCACAATCGATCTGTCTGAATTTGGTTCAGTGGATATTGAAGTGGCCTGTGCAGGGACACCTTGGTGCCCTCGCTGCAGAAGATTCTTTCATTCTGAAGATGATCCTGATTGCCCTAGGAATGCTAGGAGGAACACGAGGCCTTGGAAATCACAAGACAAGGCCCAGAAGGATAAGGATGGAAAGAAACAGGCACTGAAACCTCAAAACAAAGAGAAGGAGAAGGAGAAGGAGAAGGAGAAGGAGAGGGAGAAGGAGAAAGAGAAGCAGAATGAGGATGGCGTCAACAAAGGTCCGCAGCCTGAAAAACAGGCGTCCCCAGTTAAAACAGGAAAAGGCTGGGAGATAGTTGTATGGAAAGGAGGCCTTAAAAAGGCCTATGTACCTAAGGCTACTGAGAAGAAACGGGGTCAAAAAGGTCAGGACGTGGAACAGGGGAAAAAGGAGGAGTTCTCGGAGTCCGGAGATATCAAGTCAAACTCTAAACACCCCGATCGTGAGAGGTCCCTGGAAAGACTTCGGAAGAGAGAAAAAGGGTCACGATAGTTTCAGATGATGATGAGGAGGAGGAGGAGAAGGAAGATGAGGAGGAAGAGAATGGGGAAGACCTTGTAGTGAAACGAAAGCATGGACTCCGGGTAAGTCCGGAAGGGGCAAAGGAAGATCCGGATGACTCAGACAGGATGAATGTTTCGGTTGTACATCCGGATGTGGGGAAACAGGATGAGAGTTCTGCGTCCGGAGAGAAACTCAACTCCCCTGGCATTTTTATTTTGGATGAGGTGGATTTGGAGACGTTCAAGGATAGGGGTGAAGAGTCTGTTGGGAAAGGAGATTTTAATCAAGAAAAGGAGAATGAACAGAGGGACGGTGAGGAGATGGATCTCAGTGGTGAGGAATCAGAGGGGGATTTGTTGGGAGTGGTGGGTGAGAAAATGGGAGGTTTGGAGGATCCAATAAACGAGTTGGGGGCTCAGGAGGAGCACCGGAAGGAGGAGCATACCCCCCGGAAATTGATAAAGGAAGGGGAGTCCTCTTCACTGGATGCATTCAGGGTATACGAGAATAATATATTTGAATTGGGCTCCAGCCTGCCCTCAAACCCTCTCCCTCGACTGAAAGTCAAGACTCCTGGTTTGATTAGTCGAAGCTTTTTGCACAAAGGCAATAGCTGCTTTCACGAAGTGTGTTCGGGGGGTTCCCCTGCGAACAAAACCAGGACCAATCGTGAGGGTGGGGTCTGTGCTTCATTTGATGGGCAGGGAGATAGAGGTAGGGATAGTCCTCTTCCGGATTATTCTAAGACTTGAAAACGTGCCCTCCAGCTTCAAGGAGTTAGTAAATAACTTTCTTTTGCAGGGCCAATGAAAACGCTGGGGAAAACAGACAAGTCCAAAGGCCCTGCGAAAAGCTTCCTCACTCCGCTCATCTGTTCGGACACCCTATTGGGTACAATGATCTTAACTAAATCGTTGTCGGATGATGTTCTGGAAATCCCAACTGTTCAAGTCAAGACCTCTCCGATAGATGAGGAAGTTTTGGAACTGCCAAAGAGGCATGTTCTTAACCATATTGGTGTGGTTTCTATTTTGCCGACTATGAAGGTCTGCTGGTACTTGTCCATGAAAGAAATGGTTCCACCCATTATTTTTTATTTTGTATTTTTGGGTATTAAATCTATTAATGAGTCTTTTGAGAAATGGAGCGATCTGCGCGTTCATTGGTTCCCTTTACAAGATTTTTTATCTGAGCTGACGGACTCGATCGCTGCCTTGCAACTTCCGTCAGGGAGATCGGGGCAAGTGGTTGCAGATTGGATCAAACATGTTGGAATGTCTGCTCGCCTCTCGTGCGAGCAGGTATCGCAGATGCTGTTGGCGGTGAAAAATCTGGGTATTAGGATGAATCCAGCCAGGGATTGCAGCCTGGGCAGGAACAGGGGCAGGGGGACCCAAGCCATATCCAAGGTAGTGGCGGTTTGAGACCTGATGGTCATACCGCCTAAACTACATATTGCCTCTTGGAATATACGTGGTTTAGGCGATACTTCCAACAGACTCAAGAGGTCCAGGCTTCGTTCTTGGGTCCATAAAGCTAATATCCAGGTTTTAGGGCTGCAAGAAACGAAACTGAACTTTGAAAAACTGAATGATGCAGTGGCCCTGTGGGATGACCCACAGATTTGGTCCCCTTCTGAGGGGATCATAGGGGGAGTTGCAGTTCTTATTTCTAAAGATCTAGATATCTCAGTGTTAGATTCTTTTGCGGATTCAGAGGGGAGGCTGACTTGGATTAAATTTGAGATCGGAACAGAAGAGTGGGCTGTTATTAGTATATGCCCCTGTGGACTATAAACAGAGACTCGAATTCCTGGCCAACCTCCCCATGATGATCCCGGATGTCGAAAATCTAGTGATGTTAGGAGATTGGAACACAATATTAGTTCCTGGCTTGGACTCTCTTTCGTGCAGACCTGCGAGAGAGGACTCGAATTTATTGAGAGCCTTTATGAATTCCCAAAGTCTTAATGATGTATTCAGAACCTTGTTCCCCGACTCTAATGGGTACACGTGGTATGGCCCGCGCCCCTCCAAGAACACAGAAGCTCCTCGTTGGAGATTAGATGCAATTTTAGCGCGAGGGGCCCCGTGGGATCGATGTTGTTGGGCGGAGGTCGATACCATATACCTGTTAGATCATTATCCGGTGCTCATGGACATTGTATCTCAGGATACTATTGAGAAGGTGAGACCTCCCTTTAGACTCAATGTAAATGTATTGAAAGATGAGGGGGTAAAGGACTGGATTATGATTCAAATGAAAAATTGGGAACTAGTTAAAGATCTATTCTTGGACCTATTGGAATGGGCGGAGGTCGGGGTCAATATAATTTGAGTGGCTCTGATCAATTTTTCCAGACTGAAGGCAGCCAACCGCAGCTGGAAGGAACAACAAATTAAAAAATTGATCTCAGATGCTGAGGCCAACATGGGGAGTGATCCTTTTCTCGATTTCTACTGGTCAGAAAAAAGGAGGTATGCGATTATTGAGTTAGAAAAATTAGAGGTGTTGAGACAAACGGAATGGTTGGAATGGATGAACGTTAGGGGGATTGTGGGTTATGATCGAATGACGAAACTGTCTTTCAGGTCGCATGTTCTCAGACAATCCAAGGCCTTGATAAGAGAACTGTCACACCCCTTCGATATTAACCAAAATATTTCCTCTGACTTGAACAAAACGTGCTCTCATGCCTTTTACTACTTTAGCGATATTGTTTCAACAAGGAGGTCGTTTGATACCCCAGAATCAGACTTGTCCCTTTACACTACTTTCTGGAATAAATCTAGAGCTAGACTCACTCCTATTATGATGCAAGCTCTAAAAAAACCCTTCTCTCAGGAAGAGTTTGCCAAGGCAACCAGACAGATGGCTAAGGGGAAATGTCCAGGCCTTGATGGCCTGCCGGTTGAGCTCTATAAGGAATGTTGGGATGCGTTTGGTCCATTCATTGGGGAAATTTATAATTCTGTCAGAAATGGAAATGCGCTTCCCAAAAGTTTTCTCAAAGGGTTTATTTCTTTGTTATATAAAAAGGGTATTAAGTCAGAGGTACGTAACTATAGGCCCATATCGGTTCTCAACGTAATATATAAAATCTTGGCAAAAGCTCAAGCCATATGATTGTCTGAATTTTTGCCGCAGATTGTGGGCCCGGAACAAGGGGCTTTCGTGAAGGGTCGATCTATTTTCGGTAATATTATCGCTGCCCTTCAAGCCCTGGAAATCATATCTACTGAGAAAAGGAATGTCGCAGTCCTTCTCCTTGATATGGAGAAGGCTTACGATAAGGTCGGTTGGGCCTTTGTGTTTACAACCTTGAGGGTAATGGGGTTTGGTCCAATCTTTCTGAAATATGTCAAGGCGATGTATGTGGGAGCATGTTCAGTGGTCTCAGTAAATGGCAAATTGTCAAAGGAATTCAACCTGTCTCGTTCGCTAAGGCAAGGATGCCCTTTAGCTCCATTACTCTTTGTTGTTCAGTTAGAAATTCTTCTAGATAACAGTAGACACAACCCGGATATTAGAGGTTTGGAAATCCCTCCCTCCATTCATTGGAAGGGGGGAGCGATTGCTGATGACCGCACTATTGCGTGTGAGAATACATCAGCCTCTTTTGTTCAACTAAGGGGGATTTTTGATAAATACTGTTTTATATCCGAGGCATCAATAAATTGGGATAAATCTTCATATTTACTACCCACTCCCTATAGTATCTGTGTAAATTGGGGTTTGAAGAGGGTGGGTCCGAATTCTTCGGAACGACTGTTGGGGATTCAAGTCTATATTTCAAGCTGCTCTCTCATCGAAGACCAAATTTTGCAAGACAAGGTTTGTACTAGGATATATGGTTGGCTGAGAAATCACAGATTATCAGTAACAGGAAGGGCGCTTGTTTTATCGGCGGCGGCCTTTTCTACTTTATGGTTCCCTTTATCTATCCATGAATTGGGTGATAAGGCTTATTCAAAGATCAAGCAGGCTGCAGCACGTTATTTATGGAAGCCCTCTGCAGAGGAGGATCAAGGTTTTATGGCCAAGGCAGCATGGGATCTAGTTTGCCAATCCAGGAAGGATGGAGGACTCGGCATTCTGGACCCAGGGATCAAAATTTGGCACTTCTGGTTAAGTGGGTGATCAAAGCCTGCTTTGATACTTCATACAAACAGTGGAAAGTCCTCGCCGAATATATCCTGCGAAAGGAGTATAAGCTCCCTGAGCAAATCAATATCTGGCAGTATCTTGTGATCTCGAAGTTGGGGAAGACAAAGATAAAGTCTAAAGTTTGGTCAGGGGTCTTACGTGTTTGGAGAAAAGTCAGACCAAGTCTGCTGCATGATCCTGGGACTAAACTGAAGATTTTAAATCAAAATCTGTTTGATAATAACCTAATCAAATTGAGAGCAGGGAATTTTTGTGTACCATGGATTTCTAAAGGCGTCTTCCTAATTAAAGACATCTGGGATGAACAGGCGAAGGATTGGATTTCTTCAGACACACTGCGTCAGAAACTTCCCAGACTGCATAAAGTTCAGAAAAACTATTGTCTCTTGATACAGGCCATTCCAGGGCATTGGAAAGCCCGTTGGAAAACTGAGGCGGAGTTTGGAACAAACACGTGGTTGACTCACCCTACCGATGCAACTAACATAATCAAAGTCATGGGTCCCAAGTTGGGGCAGGGAATGGTAGTGGACACCTGGAACAAAAAGAGGAGAAAAGGGTTGGGTATTGAGCTAATCAAAGAAGGGTCTTCCACGATTAATACCACTAAGGACTTAACTGAGGTTCGGGTGTGGGAACATGGTGACGTTGGGAAAAGCCCTATCCTTTTGGAGGGTTCGGGAGCAAACTTTATTGTCAATCCATTACTCTATGGATGGAAGAAGAGTAGAGGTGGCTCATACCCTCTGATCCAGTATTCGTCTAAAGTGGGTTCCGCCCTTCTCAGAGCGAAAAAGGCTCAACCACTGGAAACTGCAATACGAAGGTTTCGCAAGGCCTATGGAGACTCGAAACCACTGCCAGACTTTTTCAGGCTGTGGAAACGGCTGAGGAATATACCTTCCCAAAAACAGGCTAGTATCATGTGGAGCCAGTCGCTGGGCATAACGGTATCGGCCATGTGGTTGAGGAATAGAGGAATGGAAGTGGACCCTATATGCAAGAGATGTGGATGGCACCGGGAAATGACAAATCATATTTGGCTAGCATGCCCACACTCTGAAGAGTTGTGGAAGTGGTGGAAAATTCAATCGGACGATGTTTTTGGACAGAAATGGCTGTGGTCTGAGGATTGGATACTCCTGGCTCAGGTAAATGCAGGGGTGAGTCCTCAGAGGGATTGGGAGTATGTGGCTTTGGTGGTTCGTGGTATTATAATGGAGGTGATCTGGAAAGCAAGAAATTCAGCAGTGTTCCAAAACCAGATTCTTTCCTTTCATCAGCAGAGAACAATGGTTAAATAGTCGCTCAGAATGACGATCTTAGTAGATTGGAGAAGAGTGTGCGGAAGATTTGGAAAAGGTTTGATTTGGTTCAGAAAAATCTGGGCTAGAGAAGATTTCTTGTCTTCAATTTCTCAAGAGGGAAGACTTGAGATTGCCAGATGGCTTGATTAATCCTCAGAGGTTTCAAAGTTTCTGCGTCAAGTTTCTAGACTCCTGCAATGCTACAACGTTCTTAGCGTCTTAGCTAGGTTCACTTTCAGAAGCAGGAATTTTGGTCTGCTTTAGTTTGTAACTAATTTCGTCGAGTTTTAGTTGAGTTGCAGACTGTGGATTTTGAATCTCTAGGGCACGATTACTGATGAAATGAACTGAAACAGCATGCTGAAGGAGTTCGGAAAAAAAAGGTCTCTGATTGGCTAGAAGACTTCTTTTGTCGGCAGAGTGTGGCTAAGACAGGTGAGGCCTAGACTGCTTTTTTTTGCCTCTGCAGAGTGGCTGAGGCAGGTGAGGCCTTAAAGATTTTCCGCCGGTGCACGGTTATGAACTGACTGAAGGGAGCTGTGAAAGTTCTCTTGCGGCTGGGCAATTTGTTGGTTAACCCCTATGAGTCTTGGTCCAAGATGCGCCTGAAGGAGTTTCCTGTCACCCCCGACTGGATCCTCCGTGTTGTGGACCTAGCTGTCGCGCTTGCCAAGCTGCTGCGACAAGAAGCCCGTGCAGCAGAGGAGGGGTGTCTGTGAGCCAGAGCATAATTCTCCTGGAGGAATATCTGATAGCAATTACGACCAGCCCTGGATGCACCTGGCTGTGATTGCTTGCAGAAAGCAGGTGAAAAGGGCGTTCGTTGGGTTGTGTGTCTTCCCTCGGACGTAAACAACGTGCAAACAACAAGTCTTCCCTCTGTCATTACACGGCTGATGTTGTCATGGCGGTTTCACTGCAACAAAATCCCAGCAGCTGCCCCACTTCTTCTTGCGTGGTTTTGGTTATGAATTTGCTCTTCTTTCACCTGCTTGTTGCTGCGTGTGGGGAATCCCCTTGCGTGCCCCTGTGTTCTGATGCCAATGTTGCAGCGGTGGCCCGGTCGACAAGGAAGTATGTGGCATGTCTGATGAACGATGTACAGCGTTCAATGTTCCTTGCTCCATCGYATTCCGCTAACTACAACCTTTTTGGGCTATGTACCGGCGTGCAGAGGCAAGGAAGTAGTAATCCTCTCTCGGAAGAGGACTCTTGCGATCCTTACACCGACTTCTGCAGGAGTCTTATTGGTTGTCGCGGACCTATTCGCCACTCGTCTGGCAAGATTCTCGTGGTCGGGATATCGGATCTTCCTATATGTCTGCCTCCCGAGTACTCGGTGACATTACACATCTACTCATATAAACCAGACCCTGCCGTAATAGTTGACGATCCAATGCTGGTTCAAAAGATCACAGACGCCATACAGGATGGCCGCACCCATTATGACAGCAACGTTCTTCACCAAGGCCACGGGTATGCTGGATTTTCTCTCAATGATTGGAGATTCTTTATTGTCAAAGACAAGGAGTTGGAATTGTTTCTACTGTCTCTTTTCCCACAGGGTCTGGTGGATGATAAGACGAGGGAAGAGATTCAAGATTCTATTCAATCTGGTGGGAAAGTAAGAACATTTGAGTACCAGGTAGATGATATGTTAGAAGTGGTATCCAGGCTGGATGGTGAGGAATTYGAGGACGCCCATCCACTTAGGGAAGCCGGGTTCAGTAAGAAGAGATTTCGTATCTTCCCGGAGATGATGTCTGGACCCTATGTTGGGCCTGTGTTCTGAGTGACAAAGCCAGAGAGGGGGGGGGCGGGAAGAGGTAGACGATGGATATAGGGGCATGTGTTCTTATTCTGCACAGGCACCACACAAATAAATCGAGTTATAGACTTCTAGAAAGTCTTAGGAGGAAGAGGAGTTCAAGGTGTTCAACTTTGCTGCCCTGCCAAGCAATGCCAAGCAATGCCAAGCAATGCCATGTGCTGCATCATAGTCTCTCTACTTTATAATGCCAGACCGACAGAGATGTAATCCATTTCATGCAGTTGTCACTTCTGTAACTCTTCAAGGGTCCATCTCAACCACATATATTCCCATGTATCCGTCTATTCATATTCATCTGTCCCACCCCCCCCTTGAATTCCTGTCCCATCTTCTGCCATCGTATTCCGTTCCAATGCCTCTGCTCTCTCTCTCTCTCTCTCTCTCTCTCTCTCTCTCTCTCTCTCTCTCTCTCTGTGTGTGTGTGTGTGTGTGTGTGTGTGTGTGTGTGTGTGTG